TATTTTTATATATAGAGATAACCCTATATTACTCCTGTTATGGTTTATATTCCTCACCTTCTGGTATGATAAAGGGAACATTAAAATTAAGTTATGAATGCACCATTATTACTTTCAAAATGTCATAGTCATCCTGGTCAATTTTACAGCCACATCATAATCAGTCTTTCATTTATGTCACATAATAGAATGTTCACTTTGTCTGGTTTTGTTGCAGCATGCCCCATATTATATCTTGCAATCCTTTATTAGTTTTTTTTAATATCCAATTATTCTCAATCTGCTATTAATACTGTTTGATAGTCTATACAGTGTTTATAATCAAAGATAATAAACATTGAGAGGTAGGAGTTCCTTATAATTCAGTTTTTCGTCATCAGCATATTCAAGATCACTGCATTGAGCCTGTGTTATTATGTGCTGCCACATCAAGAACCTTTCCATAGTTGCTCCAGTAGGCCTCAATGGCAGTCTTTATTTCAGCTTCACCACCAAAGGGTAAGTTTGCATTCTGACATACAGGACCATTGGCATGTGCTCCCTGGGCAGTACTGGGAACACCAACTTCTTTCCTTTGATGGCTATTTCCTTTATGCAGCCATCTCTCTGCTTGGCAGTGAAGAACACCACTTCCACAACCTGTAAGTCATCTCTGTAGTTAACTCCACTTATTCCTCTGCATTGCTTTTCTAAGGCCTTGGCTACTTCCAGGTTGGTTGCATCCATTGACCTCAGTATCAGGTCTATGAAGAAGGAGTTCCTCTCCTTCATTGCTGGTATCCTCCTGGTTGGATATGTTGGAGGAGTCTTCAGGTTGCATGTGGTCTTAGCAAAGACCAATTACAATGGAGTTTTTGCCCAGTGACCTTTGCATAAGACTGCTTCTTCTTGGCCTTAGGTTTGGCATTTTCCTTGGCCATTTACTCTTACCAAAAGATGATTCTTTTATTATTAGCTGTTTTTGAAAATTGCAAAATTTGGTAAAGGAAAAAGAGCAAAAGGATCATCCCAGAAGTTTGCCAAAGACAAATATCCACATCTATCACCATTAATAGTATAATTCTAGAATATTCTTTGGAAGGCTTATTATAAATATGTTTATTATGACACTAAGTATCCTCTTCTATTATAGATGTTAAATTCTTTTGTTTCACTGGATAAAATCCAAGAAAAATGGGGTGAAATTTTTTCCAGAATCACAGAGTTGAACAATGATTTTTGCAAAAGTCAGAATATCTTATGAAATTTGTAAGTGTTTTTATTTGTAAAGCCATCATAATTTATGTAATACTAATCTTTCACAGTTTATTACTAAAATCTATTAATAACGACAATGAGGATATCATCCATGACATTTTACATGACTTAATTAAAGAAGTTTTTCGTGATTTGATGTTTGACTTAGTATGGTAAGAGTTTTGTGATTATAATTATATAATCTTTCCATTGAAATATCCTCATTATATCCTTTGATTATTATTTAAAAGGGCGAATAGTGAAAGCTCATGTTCAAAAGAAAATACCATTAAAAAGTCCGACTTTAAAATAACGAATAACGAAAAAGACGAAATTATTTTTGGAGAAGTAAAACCTAAAGATTCTTCTTCAATTTTGGTAAAAAAGGATTTGGTAATGCTTGCTAATTTCCAAGTAGATGCATTGAATGAATGAATTAAAAAAAAAATATGACAACAAAGTTGGAATGATTTCTTTTGGAATATGGGTTTGTGGTAGTACGAACCTGGTTTGAATTTTTAATGCATCTACTATTTACTATCTAATATTTGACTATGTTCATAGGAGCACGAATTCGAATCTACGAAATGGACTTGAATTACGATGGAATATATAGAATGTTTTTAATTTCAAACGTAGTAATCCCAACGGAGCGTGCACAATTTGTAAATTTAATACCTGTAATTAGAGGTATTTTATAATACCAAAGTAAGTGGTCAATATAATAATTGGTTATTATCATTGGTGCAAACATTAACTTCTTTCTTTTTGTGATTTTAAGCATCGTTTGTCCGAAGTTTTAACGGTAATTGCTTCTAACACCCGCCTAGTTCTTCATCACGTTTTTCCTACGGCAGAGCGCCTAAAGCCGTTATTATATTTCGACGGTATTTAATAAATTCGTTCACGTGATTAATCGTATCACAACAAGGATAATAAAGATATCGATTCATTTTGGTTGGGAACTCTTCTCAAATTGATAATGAGATGCAAATTTACGCGCGTGATTCATCGTGTACTAAAAAAATTGGTGAATTCTTTAAAGAGTTTTATGCGAAGAACGTATATTTAATATTAGACACAACGTGGATGCGTTAATCAAACATAAATATTAATCACTTATTTTACAAAGATTTATAGACAATGCGCCTACAGTATAATATACAACGTAAAAAGAATTTGAGAAATTTATAACTCTTTGACTCAATAGTCAACCAATTCTAACAGTTCTTACTCCTGCCTCATGTGAGAACATATTCATCACCGAGAACATTGGTTATTTTTTCAGCTAATGGCTGCATCTCTGATTTGTCCATCAGCTTAAATTCATAAACAAAGTACATAAAATGTTTGAAACTGGTATTAAGATGTGGTTCGGCATTCAACTGTTGGATAGCTTCCAGATGATGACAATATATATGAGCGTATACTCGAAATAGACGTCTGAAAATTGTCTTTACTATGGATGAGAAATTCTTAGGAAATGGAGCGCCTAAAAAGATATTATAATAAAAAATGAGAATGTATGAAATTTCGTTGACGCGTGTGTAGACACGACGCAAATGTCATCTAATATATTACTTGATTGCCTTACCTAATTGGCTGGGGAAGACATCGTTGTCTTCTAATTGCCCCTGTATCCAATTCATAAGGAGATCAACGTAATGCGGAGCTGAAACAGTAGTTGGCTTCTTGTAATGCTTGTTATCTTGCCATCGATATTCAACCCTGAATCAAATCATCTAAAGTAAGTCTATGATCGATCATTAATACCCATACAACTGCAATTATCACCTTGCTCCAGCCGACATGACGGGACATCGTTGCGGAGTACAGTATTCAGTGATAATTCCATATAACATGTTAATCTGGTTGTAAAAATCATAAGCTACAGAACATGCATCACCATTGCCATTAGTCAAACTTCATGATGTTAACAATAATTAAAATCCAGATATATTTATTATTACTATGAACAGCAAGCCACTCTCGTAAGTCTTCTCCCTCAGGTAGCTGGACCGCCAATTTCAAATTTCCTGATCCGAGAGTAACTTCAGCATATCTTTGGAGACGATGTTGATGTGTTTTTTCCGGAACTTGCTTTCTGGCCCTAAATGTTTTGTCTTTGCCTTTCCTGGTTGGAAAGACGTCGAATATAATGTAGTGGAAATAATGAGTAAAGCATATGTGTTGATACAGTTACTTTCCGTGGGCATGCTTACATTCCGCTGAATAAGCTCATGCCTGCTTAACGCAATAAGATGGACAGCAAGTGCAACTTCGCACTAATCTTATGATTCCTATATAGGTAATAGTAGTGACAATTAACGTCATACTGCATTGTAGTATGTCAAAATGATACATATTTGTTTAGTATTCGGGCAAATCAAAATGTATGAACACCGAGAAGGGGGCAAATACAAATTCCAAATTTGAAAAAGTGGGAAAGAATTCTGAGATGATAATTCTTCTTTATACTTTGTGGACAAAGGGTATCAAGACAGTTTTTAATTAAAAAAATTGAACTTAATAGCTCGTCCATGATTTAGATCTTGCTTTACTAGCTAAGTGTTAATATTAACGTGAATAAGAACCCTACGTTTTCTAAATAGTGTTTACCAAAAATAGTTATTGAATATGAATGTAAAAACAAGTTTCACCGGTATAATGAATGGACCGTTTTATGCGTACATCTTACAGATACAGTTGCTCATCCGCGGCAAGACAAGTCCCTACCTCATATGTTCATTTGCTGAATAGAATTAACGTAATCGATTGGTTATCTAACGGGCCAGACTTTATACCAATCGAAAACATGCGGCAAACAAGGTTAAAAACGGATATAAACGAGTTAAGCAATCTTTGGCTATGATGGGGATCAAGTCTTTAAGAGGTAGTAAGTAATTTAATGGCATTCATGAAAACTAGACGTGAGTTGGTTTTAGAGAAAAATGATGATTGAATTCAATATTAAAATTTTTTACATTTTATTCACATTCCAAGCAAACTTGATTCCACTCAAATATTTTAAGTATGTGTTGACCATCATTATTTTCATAACACTGCATACTAACAAACAGCTATAAGCCAGTCTCATATAAAATTCTATATCATATATCAATCCTCATATTGTGGGAAGACAGCATCAGTTAGTTCCTCTGATGAGTCTAAAGTCATTGATCTTAGTTTGTACACCATGTTTGTTATCTCTTCATCATCCAAGAACTCGTGACGTACTTTCTCATAATATTTAAATATTTTGGATACGTCATCTATAATATTGAAGAAGAAATAGCAGTTGATGTAGTGAGAATGGAAAATATTAACATACTACATGATTCATGAATTTGTATGTTAACCTTTGGTATGCTCAATTGCGTCGGTATCAACCAATTCGATAACAAAACTTATAATAGTGCTACTCGTCTCCCTATATTAAATGATGCCAGTACTTTTAGCAGTTGAATAACACGTTAATATTAAGCAAGCATGCTGGATTTCTCATCACAATTCACTTACTTTGTGAATTCCAATGAATCCAATCTATCGCATATCCAGCGAAATAGATTATTCAGTTCTTCCTGTTTATTATTAAACAATTCAGGTTGAGTGGATATGAGTAGTTTCATGGTTCCTATTGCAGATGAAAGCAACTCGGTATTCATTGTGTTGTATATGAAGAAGAGTATTTGATTGATGATTGAATATGAACTAATGTCTGCAACAATTATTCGGTATTTGTTAGAACAATTCGTTAACAAATTCCTCAGGAGTCTATCAATAGCAAGTCAATGGAAAGGATAAATATGAGTAACAGATTATTAACCATTCTGCCGATCACGTGGTATAAATCGAACCTTAGGCTTTCAACTAGCACCCTTCCGTCTGCACTCCCAGTAATTATTCTCCCAAGCACCGTCGTCACATCCTCATCATTAACGATTACAATCGCCGTATCCTCAAAACAAGCAACATTTGCCAGTATTCCCATAGCCAATTCTTCCGTCCTCACCCTCTGTGTAATACTAATTGCCTTTAACACCATCCGATGCACCTGTGCTTCATTGATGAAAATCCTTGCGTAGTCATGAATACTCGACAAATCCCATACAGCACAGAGGGATTTCTCGAATTCAGAATCTTCTGGCGAGTCTATATCAACTGGGTCAATGGCATTGGATTGAAGTGGTATAAGGACGTTTAAGAGAATGCCTGAGACAGAGGAGAGAGCTAACGTTGCATCCTCATCCTGAGTGTATGACATCACAATGATGATGGTTTATAATATATACTTTGCGGGAAACTTTTAAATCCGTTATCACATTATGCTGCATCGTGTAACAAACAATACCCATTCCCGTGTCTGATCTTGGTAGCCGAATGTTCGGTGTTTCGTCGATTAGAAAGAAGTTTTATCTTGAAGTCGAATGCTAAAAACCTTGTCACAGTTTGTTATTTTCAAATGTTACTTGTGAATAATTAAGAAGATAAAAAATACAAAGGCAATAAGGGATCATGCCGAGGAGGAAAAGCGATTCAAAGGCCAGCGAAGCCTCCAAAGTCTCAAAAACCGACGGACCGTCAAAATCGGAGGTATTTACTGCTCACTGTCTATGTGCACGATCTATCCTCTTCATAGATCGCTTATCAATTCGTTAATCGATTTTTTTGCGAACAACAAAAAAACAAACCTTTCTTTACTCTTTTCACTCCTTAAAATTCCACACACAAAAGCCCGTTAATCTCTTGGCAAATCAATCATCAAAATGGAAGAACATGACAGTTCGAGCGTTTTGGACGTTTGTGATGATATTTGGTTTTCTATTAACGGTGGCAATGGGGCATTTGTTCGTCATTTTGACGGTTCTGTTGATTCAAACGCTAGTTTTCAAGGAAGTGATTGCGTTGGCTAGCGCGCCAAAAAATGAAGACAGGAAATTGCCGTGGTCAAGGACGCTTAACTGGTGAGTATGGTTATTAGAGGAGGATAGTTGAGAAACATGAACCTATATGGGCGAGATGAGACGCGGATGAAGAGGAGAAAATATAACGGAAGAAAGACTATAGTCCAATTTTGACGAGATGAGGTCTTATTTGAAGAACGAGTGTTTTAAGTCTGACATTCAATACCACGACCACGCTCTGTTGCATGTCTTGATAAATATTTTTAAATTCTAACACGGCGGCTGGATCTCTTCTCTTATAGGTACTTTCTTGCTAGTACCACCTACTTCTTATATGGAGAATCGTTAATTTATTATTTCAAGGAAATAATGGTTGTTGATGCGTTTCTACGTCCTCTCGCTTACCATCACCGTTTAATTTCTTTCACGTTGTACTGTATAGGTGAGTTTTAATTTCATTTTGACGTATAAAAGCTGTTGCTAATACTCAACGAATAAAAACTCTATCGACAGGTTTCGTCCTTTTCGTAACCACTCTTCATAAAGGATATTACAAATTCCAACTTACACAATTTGCTGTGACACATATGGCATTACTAATCGTCGTATGTCAGAGTCACTTCATTATTAATAATATATTCGAAGGACTGATCTGGTTCGTAGTAGTCACTTAATTTCATAGACAGTCTATTCAGTTTGACAGCCATTATTCCATAGCTGCCAGATCGCGGATTTCATAATAGTTTCTTACATCATGTAATCGCGTAATAGGTTTTTACTCCCGGCATCCTTGGTAGTTTGCAACGATTCTTTTGCCTACTTATGTGGATTCTTTTGGGGGAAGACCCCGTTGATAAGACTCAGTCCGAAGAAGACTTGGGAAGGATTCATCGGTGGATGGATTTGTACTATGATATTTGCTGTTGCAGTAAGTGTGTCATACTTTGGGAGAGTTTGATGGAGGACGTGTGTGATTCTAATTAGAGTCAAATGCTTTTATAGTGGACTTGGTTGTTAATACAGTCGGATTACATGATTTGTCCCGTTAAGGTAAGTTAAAAAAGTGATCTCTTTATTATCAAACAGATGTTTAACTGTCGAATAATCGTAGGATTTGGGCGCGTCGGCATTCTCGGGGGTACATTGTGAACCAAATCCAGTATTCATACCTCAAAAACATAATCTCAATCCATGGCTAAGTAGCATATTACGACGTCTGGTAATTTGGTTATTATGTGTCTCGAGTCCAGTCTGTCAACCATGCTTATCAGCTTATTCCAATCATCTTATCGCCTTAGACATCTACTGACATACGTCATGTGTGGATTGCCCCAGTACAATGGCATGTGCTAGTGATGGCATGCTTTGCCTCATTGATTGCTCCTTTTGGTGGATTTTTTGCTAGTGGAGTGAAGAGAGCTTTCGGTGTGAAAGTAAGTTTATATAGACTAGATGTAGTTGGGTAATAATCAAAATTTTTGACATCGCTTGATTATAAAAATAGGACTTTGGAGATTCTATTCCCGGTCATGGAGGTTTCACCGATCGAATGGATTGCCAATTCCTTATGGGGTTATTCTCTTACATGTACTACCACAGTTTCATTAAGGTAATTAATTGAAATATTTGTTGGACACGCGGCAACCTACAAGTATCATTCGTATTAACAATATTTTACAGACATACACATACGTCTATATCCATCTCTCTGTCGGAGCTATACTGGAGCAGATAGCCGATTCTCTGAAACCCCAAGAACAAATAGAATTGTATAACAACCTCCAGCAGTATCTATTCGAACAGGGTCTATTGCCGCAACAAGCCGCCGCCAACCATCCGACATCATAGCAAACAAAGGTTCATAGTTAAGGCGAAGAATGGATGTATGATCGAAGATGTGTAAGTGCAGTATTTTGAGGGTTGGCGATTTTGAATAAGCAGTTACAAGATGTGTATTGTTCGGCGTTTTGCTTGTACTTATTATATGTATCAGATGTATCCACCATCGTATTGTTTGGTTGATTATTGATGTTGTATTGGATATGTAGTTAGTTAATGCAATGATTGTCTTTTATTTGTGAATAATAAATATAATATTTTTGCTTATACATCAAAAATCCCAATACTAGCATTGCGATTATCACTCCATCCATAGCATCACTTTCTCATTGTCCTTAATTGCAGCCAATATTTCGCTTTCATGCACGTTTAACAGGATCTTGCGACTTCTCTTTACTTTACCATACGTAATTCCAATGAGGCCCACCGTTTCAAGCATTCCTGTCAAGTCGTGGAATTCTGTTTGAGTGACTGGCGAGTACAGGTCCTTATTGCGACAATGAGAAATATATTTATCTTGGAACTATATAAGCGGAGTAAGTTTTGGTCAATACGTAAATATTATATACTGTATTACCCAGTGTCTAATATCATATATTTACCTTGCCGTAGGTGATATACCCTTTCTTTTGTTTGCTCATAATAAACAAAGTACACAATAGTAACTGCTGATGCAAAGTTAACTGCCTTATTTTCATTACGTTACTAGAACCGGATGTGGCCATAGTAACTTTGTTCATATGTTCAAGATTCACTCTCACTATCCTTTCTATATCGGCACGATTTTCACTCCGACTCTCTCCTTTCATATATTCTTTCTCAGCTAGTTCGATAGCTTGCCTGCATACATCTAGAGCTTTCCGTAGGTCACCATTTGATGCTGCTACTTTCCTAGCACATAACTCAATGGCACGGGAATCTATTAATGGCTGAAGGGATTGTTGTACCGTAGTTTGAAGAATAGATAAGCGATGATTGAGTATAGCTATTATTTCCGTGACCGTGTATGGGTTGAAATTGAGTAATTGTGGCAAACCTAGTAACATGGCGAAGAGATTGATTGTGATGAGCATTCTGATTAAAATTTTGTATCATATATATCTTTATAGGATCAGTTTACGTACATCCTTTGGCCTTTAAGCGTGGAAGAAATCTGTCAGTCAGATTCAGAGCATTTGCTATGCCAATTAGGGTTAATCTCGAATTATGAAGTGTTGGCCATTCAAATAATTGGTATAAAACGTCTTGATCTTTAGTCAACAGTGTGTCAATCTCATCTAGGACCACAATGCTGAAAAAGTTGATTAGCGACAGATGCAAAAGTACTCAAAGCCACCAATCATTACACGAAAATCATACTTACAATGTGACGTTGCCATCTCGATTCACGAATACTTTCTGCAAATATTTCACTGCATCTTCTTCGTTTTCACATCCACCAACTTCTCTGGCCAACTTATCATAAACATCTTTTGCATTTCCAACTGTCATGCAATTCATTGTAATAATTTCTATTTCCCTTTTGTTCATCTTTCTTCGTTTGCATGCTTCCTTCCTCCCCTTCTCTCCACAGTCTCTTTTTAACTTTTCGCAAATTTCGCTCACTAACAACGTCTTGCCAGTTCCTGGGTTTCCAGAAATATACAAACTGCCTGGTTTGTCAACCAGAGCGTGTTTAGAGAGAAAGTCATGTATGATAGTGCGTTCGGTGTTACGACCAGTTGATTGCGTAAGCATGGATGAGCGACGAAATAGCGATTTGGCTTCTTGGTAAATTTGGATTGGCGTCAAATTTTGGTTAGAAATTTGAGGACGAGAATTTAGTTTAGAGTCCGAGTAAGCAACGAGTGAACGTTTTGATGTCTTGAAAATTGAGTTGATAGTATTGTTGGCATTGTTATCAGTAGCAGCAACTTTAGATCTCTTCGGTGGCATATTGCTATGATTCCCTTTTTTTATTCTCCGCAGTATCACGTTCTCTGCGTATCGACTTCCACGTTAGAGAGTTAGCCGGTAGGTAATGATTATACGAAGGAGAGATGTTGAATTGCTTGTTACATGTTGAGATGTATTTATAGAATTTTATTTTGCTTTTAAAACGCGTCAAGGTAATCAGAATGCAAAACATCGCGTGTCGTGAGTATGTAACACGAATGGTGTATCACCGGACAAGATATTTCTATTGGATTAAGTAGAAGCCATTCACGAATAGATCGCGAAAAGTATGCATGACAGTGTAAGGGCGACAGGAAAAATGTTCTTGTTTGCCATAATAATAACGACTCATGACCATTATTTACAATACATTCGTTGGCATACCGTTTTAATATAGCACATGTTAGGCTGGACTATTGTAGAATGTGGCTGGATACGTGGAGCTCGAGAAAAGAACAAACTTTGGATCAAATTAAGTTTGTTGGAACTTTCATTTCTTTAGATACGCATTTGCTATATGTAGGTGGCACTTTTCTTTAATTGCTGACTGTCACCTGACGTGTTAATGGGCCGAAAAAGCCTAAGG